TCCAGTCGAGGAAGGTCGAGGAGAACTACCTGCTCCAGAGCCTGCACGAGCATGAGAGAGGCATCAACGCCATGGCAGTCAGTGAGGACGGCTCAGTACTGGCCACGGGAGGGGAAGACAAGGTGGCCAGACTCTGGAGTACCAAGGTGAGGGGGGGGGGACAAGGTGAGGGGAGGGGGGACAAGGTGAGGGGGGTGGGGCAAGGTGAGGGGGGGGATAGGGGGGACAAGGTGGCCAGACTCTGGAGTACCAAGGTGAGGGGGGGATAGGGGGGACAAGGTGAGGGGGGTGGGGCAAGGTGGCCAGACTCTGGAGTACCAAGGTGAGGGGGGGGATAGGGGGGACAAGGTGAGGGGGGTGGGGCAAGGTGGCCAGACTCTGGAGTACCAAGGTGAGGGGGGGATAGGGGGGACAAGGTGAGGGGGGTGGGGCAAGGTGGCCAGACTCTGGAGTACCAAGGTGAGGGGAGGGGGGGGGGGGGGCAAGGTGAGAGGGGGGTTGGGGGGACAAGGTGGCCAGACTCTGGAGTACCAAGGTGAGGGGAGGGGGGGCAAGGTGGCCAGACTTTGGAGTACCAAGGTGAGGGGAGGGGGGGGGGAGAGAACAAGGTGAGGGGGGGACAAGGTGAGGGGGGGAGGGGGGGGCAAGGTGGCCAGACTTTGGAGTACCAAGGTGAGGGGAGGGGGGGGGAGAGAACAAGGTGAGGGGGGGGACAAGGTGAGGGGGGGAGGGGGGACAAGGTGAGGGGAGGGGGGACAAGGTGAGGGGGGGGGATAGGGGAGACAAGGTGGCCAGACTCTGGAGTACCAAGGTGAGGGGGGTATTGTACGGAGGGTGAGGACAGGTTGGTGGACATAGATGGAAGAGCGGGTTGATAAAAGTTTAATGTATAGGTAGGCTCTTTATAGACTTGGCAGAATATTTCTCAATCTCTTTCTCTCTCTAGCGAAACCGATCATTAGCGGGTTTTTATAGTTTAACGGTTAATGCTTATTGACAGGCTCAAAAAGAACAGAACAAAATAAATTGCCAATACTCGTTGAACTAAACTACATAACTACATAAACGTTTTTTTTTTTATTTTATCAACGTAAATTAATTTCAAGACAAAAACATTTTTTCTCTACATCCAGAAAGACAAACGTAACTTATATTAGAGATCATATGATTGTGTATCAATTAGTGCACACGTCCGTTGCTTGCAGTAAAGTTGTCTGAAATGTACACGGAAACTTGGTTGCTAAATTTAGGCACATTTGGACACATTTTACCACGGATCGTAGGAAACCTTATATACTTCCTGTGTAAAACTATTGTATGACGTCACATACCAGTGTATGAGGTAACACACGTGTCGTTTGAGCTGTCTGTATATAAAAGAATCAAGTACTCAGGTAAACTCCGAGAACTGTGTATGTTTCTTAAACAGACACAGTCACACCACATCTTGCCTCCCGCATATTCTTAAGGCCCCCCCCCCCACATAATTTTGATACCATTATATTATATATTTTCTAATGACCCCCCTCACATATAATTTTGTCCCCCACACATTCTAATGACCCCCCCTCACATATAATTTTGTCCCCCACACATTCTAATAACCCCCCTCACATATAATACTTTCCCCCCACATTCTAATGACCCCCGACCTCTATCACTTGACCAGACCGAGCAGTGTGAGTGTATCGGCATCCTACGAGGCCACACCGACTACATCAACTGTATCCTCATAGAGGACTGCTACGTGCTGACCGGAAGTGCTGACAAGACCATGCGCAAGTGGGACGTCGGCACGTGCGAGTGTTTGCTGGTACTGACAGGTCACTCCAGTGTCATCTACAGGTAGGTCATTGGTGGCATTTACAGGTAGGTCATGGGTGTAGGTCGTTTGTGTCATCTACAGGTAGGTCATTGATGGCATCTACGGTAGGTCATGGGTGTAGGTCGTTAGTGTCATCTATAGGTAGGTCATTTGTGTCATCTATAGGTAGATCGTATGGTGTATGTCATGGGTGTCATTAGACACATAAGTCATTAGTCTACATAAGAGTTTCTTCCAGGCATCTCTTCGGTGGGGTGGGGGGGGGCAAAGACTCCCCGAAAAAAATTCTACCGCCCCCACCCGAACGAAATGAAATTTATATAATTTATATAGAAAATATATTCTTTTAACAGTGTCCGCCCCCCCCCCCCAAAAAGTCTACCGCCCTCCCCCACCCCGAAAATTTCAAGTGCCCCCCCCCCCCCCTGGAGAAAAAGTCTGGAAGAAACACAGGTCTAAATACATAACTCTTTTTCTTCCAATAATTACATTGACACGTTGTATTAATACTGTTTTCAAACTTTTAAAAACATTTCACCGGTGTGTTTTGCTGGCTGATAAAGAACTAGAACATGAGAATCATGGGATAGAAATTTGCAAGTTGTTGCACAATATCCTTGCATTACTTATTTATTACACCAGCAGTGTATCAAGTAGACAAGTATCGATTGCAACTTGCTCGAATATCGATCAGGAAAATATCGGCAAACAATTCAGTCATGTGACTCGCTGAGTTTGTTGGATGGTTGACAGATGACTGACGTTTGACAGACGAGGCCCCTGATTGGTTAGTGGCTGATCACATGACTGTCACATGATCAAACGGTTTGTTTGTTGTTCAAGTCGGCGGTAGCAACGTACATTCTTGTGTTTTAAACTGATGAATATTTAGTGTACTGTACCGATCACAGACTGAATCTATAAATAGTTGACAGTTTTGAATATTCGATAGAGTTCAAAGATGTTAAAGAATGTATGTAAAAAATTGTTATTGTAAGAGTTGGTTGGGTGTGGTTGTGTGGTTGGGTGTGGTTGTGTGGTTGTGTGTAGCTGTGTGGTTGGGTGTGGTTGGGTGGTTGTGTGTGGCTGTGTGGTTGGGTGTGGTTGGGTGGTTGTGTGTGGCTGTGTGTTTGGATGTGGTTGGGTGTGGCTGTGTGGTTGGGTGTGGTTGTGTGGTTGTGTGGTTATGTGGTTGTGTGGTTGGGTGTGGTTGTGTGATTGTGTGGTTATGTGGTTGTGTGGTTGTGTGGTTGGGTGTGGTTGGGTGTGGCTGTGTGGTTGTGTGTGGTTGGGTGTAGCTGTGTGGTTGTGTGTTTGGGTGTGGTTGGGTGGTTGTGTGTGGCTGTGTGGTTGGTGTGGCTGTGTGGTTGTGTGTGGTTGGGTATGGCTGTGTTGTTGGGTGTGGCACAGAGTTAACCACAGCTTTCATTGAATGCCGCAACAACACTGCGCCGTAAATTAATTTTATTTCCATCTAATTGGGTACGGTGTGGTCGGTGGTCGTGTGGTCGGGTCGTAGAGCAAATGATTGCTTAACCAAAGTCCACGAGCTCAAACCCCCTGCCAGACGGGGCCCGGTAACTGGACAGCAAGCTGTCTAGGAGAGGCTAACTCTAAAAACAATCAAAGAAATTAGTCTCGCTGATTGTTCTTGTATGGACAAAGGATCTGGAAGCGAAGCCAGTAAAACAAGAGCAGGTTCCAATCGGAATCAACGCTTCACAGGTTGACACGAAATACTGAAGTGTGTTGTAGAACATCCCGTCCAATATTAGAATTATGTTCCATCTTAGAGTCGACAGTTACTTTAATGAGATTAGCCTCACACTATCCAGGGTGTTTGTTAATTTTTAAAAAATACAAGATTAAAGTTATTATTGTAAATGTAGGATAACATTATATCTCGTATTAGAGTAATCATCAAGTAAAGTTGTCGTACTTTTTTACACAATGATTTTTGTTGATGAGAGTTACATTTTCTATTATGATCTTTATTATTCTATAAAATATTATCTTTATTGTTACAGATTGATCTTTATTCTAACAGAATGATCTTTATTCTTACAGAATGATCTTTATTCTTACAGAATGATCTTTATTCTTACAGAATGATCTTTCTACTTACATACTGATCTTTCTACTTTCAGAATGATCTGTACTGGTGATTTCATCTTCTCCAGTTCGTACGACCGCACCGCGCGTGCGTGGGACTTTGAGACGGGCGAGTGTGTGCGTGTATTCCGGGGCCACAAGCGTGGAGTGTACCCGCTCATTTTCATCCCAGCTGAGCAGGACGAGGAGGGCGAGGTCGACTTCGACACGTCCAAAGACATCCTCATCACGGGCTCGGCCGACTTCACCGCCAGAACATGGAACTTTGAGTCTGGGCAGGTCCTCAAGGTCATGAAAGGTCACACGGGCGCCGTGACCTGCATGTCTGTTGACCCGGGCGGTCAGATTTTGTTTACCGGAAGTACCGACTTCACGATCAGGAGCTGGAATATTCTCAAGGGCACGCAACTCAAGTTGTTTGAAGGTCACCAGGGGTCAGTCATATGCATGACGGTGAGTACACGTCATTTGTCTTTGATATGTGATGTCATCTCAGTTTTAGATGCCATCTTGGATTAAGTATCATGTCAATATAAGATTTCATGCCTGTTAGTGACGTCATATCAATTTCAAATATCATGTCATTGTGTTATGTCATGTCAGTCAAAGATGACATGTCAGTAGTGTCACAGATGACTATAGTCCACTCTGTCAACAACATATGGGGTATGACAATGTCACAACATATAGCGTATCACAATGTCACAACATATGGGGTATCACCAGTGGCGTAGCGAGGTCGGGTGTCACCCGGTGCGGCACTTAATGGTGTCACCCCCCCAGAGTCATAGAGACCCTTCCCAGGGACAAACTTTCAAATTTTCGATTTGCACCCCCCCCCCTCAAACTTTCGATTTGCACCCCCCCCTCAAGTTTTCGATTTGCACCCCCCCCCCTCAAACTTTCGATTTGCACCCCCCCCCTCGAGTTTTTCTCTATATATTTTGCTATTTTTTGCCTTGGTGTCACCCCCCTAAATGGTGTCACCCGGTGCGGTCCGCACCCCCCGCCCCCCCCACGCTACGCCCCTGGGTATCACAATGTCACAACATATAGGATATCACAATGCCACACGAAAAATATTTTCAAACACTCAACCTTGTTACATGACCGATGACTGACATCTGGACCACAAGACAACCCTACACGACTGACAGATTAGCCTGTAGGTGTCTATAACTGACAAAACGACCACACGTGTCATGTTAAACCACTAGCACCACCGTGTCGACACACATATTTATTTTAAGCTCAGCTCTAAGCTCATTAAGCGATCACGTGGAGCTAGACGTGACAATCACGGCGTGGTTGCACGTGACAGGTGCCAAGTGTGACATTATGTCACGTCCTGTCAAATCTCACATTATGTCACGTCCTGTCAAATCTCACATTATTCGGTCAATCTTGTCAACTTCTGCTCTTGTTATTTGCCAAACCTCGGCCTAGAACCTCTTCATGTTTCTAAGTTTCTTAAGTTTCTCGTGCATGGCTTGTCTTGGTTAGTTTGAGATCAAGCTTATCCTAATTAATTAGTACTTTAGTGCCATGAGGAATGGCAGGCTGGAATATCTGCAGGCTGTAGACTGTCTTGAACTTTATCGCATACTGTGTCTACCTCGGGCATTAGAACAATACTCTATGTTTACACGTGTTATTGAATCAACAATGCCTGCTTTCAACCCCTTTTTCATGTTTAGCCGATGTAACTGTTGTATTCACCATAAACGTTCCAAAATGTGTTCTTGTGTAAGTAGACACAATCTGTAGTCACATCTGACTGTGCTTAGTTCTCTTGTGATAACCGTGAACTAGCTGGGAACTCTTCTGTCTAAGAAAGTCAAATGTTTGGGTGTCAGTATGTGAGGTAGCTCATGGTGTCTATGGTATGGAGATCTTGTGTTGACATGTGTGCTTACTACTCATATAGAGTAGAAGTAGACTAACTTACAACACAATAGTTTTTGTTTACTTTCTCGTTTGTTAACTTCCACATTGGACACACATGGTTAGGGAGTCTTAAATCAGGTCAAAGCACACCTTGAAAAGTGTGCAGTTCTAGTGTGTCAGTGACTGATGCTTTTGTAACAGTTAAATGTAAGGTGAATGAATGTTTCGAGTATGATTTAGAAAAAGGCGATATAAATCTAAAATATAGTGTGGGTGTGCGCATGCGCTAAAAAGGAAGCAAGTGGGTAGAGAGAGCGGGAAGAAAATGGCGATGTTTTGGCAGTGAAGTCGTTGTATCAATGAACCAATAAAATCATGAAAATTTCCTGAACGTGGTTTGTTTAATGCTATAAATCAGACTATAATATGTAATAACAAAGGAGGAGAGAGGAGGGCGGTTGGTATTTGTCCTTTTGAGTTCGTGCCATGATTGGCAGCAGAAAAGGCCGTGACAGCTTTATTCACTGACGTCACGCTTCTTTCATTTGTGGTGTGTGGCCCGCTAGTTTATTGAACTTGTAGACTTCTTCGTCGTGAACTGTCGACTGTTGGACTAACTTAGCCATTTAGCCATCAACCTTTGTGCGAGCAACTTTAACCTTTAACCTTTGTGCGACCAACTTTAACCTTTGACCTTTGTGCGAGCAACTTAACCTTTGACCTTTGACCCCCAGGTCCAGAACAAGATCATCTACTCCGGCAGCTCTGACCACACGGGTCGCGCCTGGGTCGCCGAGTTTGGGGACTGTACCCGCATCTACAGGGGTCATAAACACACAGTCAGTGTCATCAAGGTGTACGAGGGCATGGGTGAGTTGTCTATCTTTGTTCTGGGTGAGTTGTCTGTCTTTGTTCTGGGTGAGTTGTCTTTCTTTGTTCTGGGTGAGTTGTCTTTCTTTGTTCTGTTACTTAGGTGAGTTGTCTTTCTTTGTTCTAGGTGAGTTGTCTATCTTTGTTCTTGGTGAGTTGTCTTTCTTTGTTCTGGGTGAGTTGTCTTTCTTTGTTCTGGGTGAGTTGTCTTTCTTTGTTCTGTTACATGGGTGAGTTGTCTTTCTTTGTTCTGGGTGAGTTGTCTTTCTTTGTTCTAACTGAGTTGTCTTTCTTTGTTCTGGGTGAGTTGTCTGTCTTTGTTCTGTTACTTAGGTGAGTTGTCTTTCTTTGTTCTAGGTGAGTTGTCTATCTTTGTTCTTGGTGAGTTGTCTTTCTTTGTTCTGGGTGAGTTGTCTTTCTTTGTTCTGTTACTTAGGTGAGTTGTCTTTCTTTGTTCTAGGTGAGTTGTCTATCTTTGTTCTTGGTGAGTTGTCTTTCTTTGTTCTGGGTGAGTTGTCTTTCTTTGTTCTGGGTGAGTTGTCTTTCTTTGTTCTGTTACATGGGTGAGTTGTCTTTCTTTGTTCTGGGTGAGTTGTCTTTCTTTGTTCTAACTGAGTTGTCTTTCTTTGTTCTGTTACATGGGTGAGTTGTCTTTCTTTGTTCTGTTACATGGGTGAGTTGTCTTTCTTTGTTACATGGGTGAGTTGTCTTTCTTTGTTCTGTTACATCGGTGAGTTGTCTTTCTTTGTTCTGTTACAAGGGTGAGTTGTCTTTCTTTCTTCTGGGTGAGTTGTCTTTCTTTGTTCTGTTACATGGGTGAGTTGTCTTTCTTTGTTCTGTTACATTGGTGAGTTGTCTTGCTTTGTTCAGGGTGAGTTGTCTTTCTTTGTTCTAACTGAGTTGTCTTTCTTTGTTCTGTTACATGGGTGAGTTGTCTTTCTTTGTTCTGTTACATGGGTGAGTTGTCTTTCTTTGTTCTGTTACATGGGTGAGTTGTCTTTCTTTGTTCTGTTACATGGATGAGTTGTCTTTCTTTGTTCTGGGTGAGTTGTCTTTCTTTGTTCTGTTACATGTGTGAGTTGTCTTTCTTTGTTCTGGATGATTTGTCTTTCTTTGTTCTGGGTGAGTTGTCTTTCTTTGTTCTGGGTGAGTTGTCTTTCTTTGTTCTGTTACATGGGTGAGTTCGATTACACCAGGCGTGTCACTAGCTAGAGTTGGATCGAGCCAATCCCAGAGTCAACGGAATAAGGTGGAACACGTGACACCTAAAGCTGCCAATAAACTACCCCGCCAACCACCCCCCCCCCAAAAAAAAACACACACACCTGACCAGCCGATCAATTGACCTCCCGCTGGTCAGCTGACCTATTGATCAGCTGACCAGACGACTACCTGCCGTGTGCGGGTCATACAAAATGTAAACAGGAAGTACCGACCAGCAGACGAGAGAAAACGTGATCTTATAACATGTGCTCGTCTAACCTGTGTCACGTGAGCGTGTGCACCTGATGTTCACGTGACAGGTGTCTTGTGTGTTCACATGTGTGTTCACGTGTGTGTTCACGTGTGGGTCTCCGTGTCTCCCCTGTCACACCTGTCTTGAGATTGTAGGAGCTTTCAATTCTCAAACCCGGTCTGATTGGTCTAATTTTAAACATTTTCTGATTGGTCCTATTTTAAACATTTTCTGATTGGTCCTATTTTAAACATTTTCTGATTTGTCCTATTTAAAATTTGATGTAGCTGGTAAATTTAGACCTTGATTACCCCCCCCCCCCCCACCCTCCCCACTCCAATTCTTGACAACATTAACAGTTAAACCTAACCTTGACCTTGTAAATATCGCTTGCGTTATTTTTTTGTTCAACTTTAGAACTCTGAGCTTGTCACATGTTTAACCCAACCTAGCGCTGTTAACTGTCACGATTCATTTGCCAAGTTTTTGTCAAGATACTGTTGCTCAGCATGCTAGCAAATAATTGTCCTTGATTAACTATAAACTGACATCTAGAATATATATTAGAGTATGTTGGCTATATAACATATAACTAGGTGTGATCATATACAACCTGCCCTTATAACCAACATATAAAGCTCCATTGTGTTTGTTATATCCTAATTATGTCACTAATGTCAGTCTAAATGTCACATTATATGTCATTCTTCAAATGCATGGCTCAACATTCCTATACATGTCATATAATTTGTACATGCTTATAATTAATTTGTGTTTACATCACTCAATGTCATCATTCATTGTCATTTCTCTATAATATAAAACATGTGATTATTTCAAGAAATTGTGTCAGATGTCACATGTCATTTATTCCTTTAGTGATAGACTTTAATCACATCAACCAAGGCAAGATGTCACATGACACATCATTTAACACCTGTCACAACGTCATGAAGTCTTGTCACATACAAAATGTCACATTTCGCAAGTACCGTGACGTCATGTAATACTTCACAACATGTCACATCCATCACATTTGTCACTTCTAATACATCACACTTCATTTCCTACGGTATATGTCATACGTGACATTTTAGCTAAAGCGTCGAGTCAAATGTCAAAGTTGTCATTTACCCTGGTCAAGACGTCATACGATATATTAATCATATGTCATATACGTCATCACATCAAATTTCTCCATCACTCAAGTAAATTCATCCAGTCACTCTATCATGTCACATATCATATGTCACTCGTGACATTCTGGCATTTTGTCACATGCCGTTTGTCCGTGTAATCTTGTCATCTGATGATGAACATCACCCTAGGCTTTATGTCACGTCACGTATCACATGCTATTTGTTCTCCTATTCATGACATTTAATGTCACATATCACAATAGCCCTCCCATCATGTCACATGTCATCTGTCCTCTAGTCACGGCGTCAAATGTCACATGTCTTATGTTCTCTATTCATAACGTCAAATGTCACATATCACCCTAGCATTCATTTCATGTCAAATATCACATGTCATCTGTCGTATAGTCATGACATCAAATGTCACATATCATCCTAGAATCCACACCATGTCAAATGTCACATGTCATCTGTCCTCTAGTCATGACATCAAATGTCACATACCACCTTGCCTTCACACCATGTCGAATGTCACATACCTCCTTGCCTTCACACCATGTCAAATGTCACATGTCATCTGTCCTCTAGTCATGACAGCATGTGGTGACGCGATGGTTCGTGTCTTTGATGCCAAGTCTGGAGCCTTGAAGAGAACAATGAGAGGTCACGCTAGCACCGTCACGGCCATGCAGGTCAATCTTCTATTTATAGCTGTGGTCAGCTAGCTAGATGGCATCTAGCTAGAGGGCAACTTGCTAGAGGTCATGTAGCTAGAAGTCATATAGCTAGAGGTCAGCTAGCTAGATGGCATCTAGCTAGAGGTCATGTAGCTAGTCATGTAGCTAGAGGTCATATAGCTAGAGGTCAGCTAGCTAGAGGTCAACTAACTAGAAGGCATATAGCTAGAGGTCAGCTATCTAGGTTAGCTAGCTAGAGGACAATGAATTATAGGTCATCAACCAGTGCTCATCTAGCTATAGATTATCCAGCTATAGACCATCTAGTTCATGGTCATCTAGCTATATATCACCTGGCTAGTGATTTTGACTTAGCAGCCATAGATCTGTGTCGTCATACCACCCCTTACGTCATACCAGCCCTTACGTCATACCACCCCTTAATGTGTGCACCTGTAGTTGTATGTGTACCACCTGCACATTACTGCATGACTTGACACTTCTCACGATTTCCCTTAGTTTTTTTTTTCCAGCTTTAAATGTTGCTTGGCACTGTTTAGCCTGTGTGTATCAGTTTCTACAGTTGCTTGGCACTGTTTAGCCTGTGTGTATCAGTTTCTACAGTTGATTTTGTCCAACCCGCCCTAACAGAACCAAAAGTTAGTTTACAACACGCCGCATTTACTCTCACTATCAGCCGTGAAAGATTTTAAACAACTTTAAGATAGTTAGCTAACTAATTATCGTTGTGTCTTTGTGTCTGTGTCTTTGTGTGTGTGTGTGTGTGTGTGTGATTGGCAATCTGGCAGAGATTACTAACAGACTCCCGGAACATCTATACAGTGTGACGTCATATTTTGAAGTTTCAGGAATCCGACATATTCTTATTTACAATGTCATATAAATCGTAAATTGTTTGCTATTTATTAAGCGTAAGTTTATACCACACTGTTGTAGAGAGTCAGTAATTTGAAAGTTTGTTGTTTCCTATTTTTAAAACTTAAGTTTGGCTAGAACTGAAGAATCAGCATTATACAGTCCACTAAAATATGTTTAGTTGGTTACATTTCAGTGGCTTGCGTCCTACCAGTGTCCTGTGTCCTACCAATGTCCTACCACTGCCCTACCGATGTCCTGTGTCCTACCACTGTTTTGTGTCCTACTAATGTCCTACAGGTGTCCAACTAGTGTCCTGTGTTCTAACAGTATCCTAACAATAATCTGTGTCCTCCCAATGACACCCAGTGTCCTGTGTCCTACCTATGCCCTAAAAATGTCCTCCGTATGTCATGTGTCCTACCAATGTCCTACCAATGTCCTGTATCCGCCTTTTTTCTGTCAGTCTACTCGGCCTGTGGTGACGGGGTGGTGCGGAGGTTTGACGCCCGGACCGGCAGTCTGGTCAACTCTTTTGTGGGTCACGTGACTCCCGTCACGGCACTAGAGGTACCCTCAGCCCGTAGTTAGTCACGTCACGTCATGTTACGTCACGTCATATCACGTCACGCTAGACTTGTATGTATGACGTCACACTCAGCATGTCATGTAGTGTAGTTGTATGTCTGACGTCACACCCAGCATGTCATGTAGTGTAGTTGTATGTCTGACGTCACACCCAGCATGTCATGTAGTGTAGTTGTATGTCTGACGTCACACAGAGCATGTCATGTAGTGTAGTTGTATGTCTGACGTCACACACAGCATGTCATGTAGTGTCTGACGTCACATACAGCATGTCATGTAGTATAGTTGTATGTAACGTCACACACAGCATGTCATGTAGTGTAGTTGTATTATGACGTCACACACAGCATGTCATGTAGTGTAGTTGTATGTCTGACGTCACACACAACATGTCATGTAGTGTAGTTGTATGTGACGTCACACACATCATGTCATGTAATGTAGTTGTATTATGACGTCACACACAGCATGTCATGTAGTGTAGTTGTATGTATGACGTCACACACAACATGTCATGTAGTGTAGTTGTATGTGACGTCACACCCAGCATGTCATGTAGTGTAGTTGTATGTCTGACGTCACACCCAGCATGTCATGTAGTGTAGTTGTATGTATGACGTCACACACAACATGTCATGTAGTGTAGTTGTATGTGACGTCACACACATCATGTCATGTAGTGTAGTTGTATGTGACGTCACACACAGCACGTCATGTAGTGTAGTTGTATGTGACGTCACACACAGCATGTCATATAGTGTAGTTGTATGTCTGACGTCACACACAGCACGTCATGTAGTGTAGTTGTAAGTCTTACGTCACACCCAGCATGTCATGTAGTGTAGTTGTATGTCTGACGTACACACAGCATGCAATGTAGTGTAGTTGTATGTATGACGTCACACACAACATGTCATGTAGTGTAGTTGTATGTGACGTCACACACAGCACGTCATGTAGTGTAGTTGTATGTGACGTCACACACAGCACGTCATGTAGTGTAGTTGTATGTGACGTCACACACAGCATGTCATGTAGTGTAGTTGTATGTCTGACGTTACACACAACATGTCATGTAGTGTAGTTGTATGCGACGTCACACAGAGCACGTCATGAAGGGTAGTTGTATGTGACGTCACACACAGCATGTCATGTAGTGTAGTTGTATGTCTGACGTCACACCCAGCATGTCATGTAGTGTAGTTGTATGTATGACGTCACACAGCATGTCATGTAGTGTAGTTGTATGTCTGACGTCACACCCAGCATGCCATGTAGTGTAGTTGTATGTATGACGTCACACACAACATGTCATGTAGTGTAGTTGTATGTGACGTCACACACAACATGTCATGTAGTGTAGTTGTATGTGACGTCACACACAGCACGTCATGTAGTGTAGTTGTATGTCTGACGTCACACACAGCACGTCATGTAGTGTAGTTGTAAGTCTTACGTCACACCCAGCATGTCATGTAGTGTAGTTGTATGTCTGACGTACACACAGCATGCCATGTAGTGTAGTTGTATGTATGATGTGACACTCAGCATGTCATGTAGTGTAGTTGTATGTGACGTCACACACAGCAGGTCATGTAGTGTAGTTGTATGTGACGTCACACACAGCACGTCATGTAGTGTAGTTGTATGTGACGTCACACAGCATGTCATGTAGTGTAGTTGTATGTCTGACGTCACACACAGCATGTCATGTAGTGTAGTTGTATGTCTGACGTCACACACAGCATGTCATGTAGTGTAGTTGTATGTGACGTTACACACAACATGTCATGTAGTGTAGTTGTATGCGACGTCACACAGAGCACGTCATGTAGTGTAGTTGTATGTGACGTCACACACAGCATGTCATGTAGTGTAGTTGTAAGTCTGACGTCACACACAGCATGTCATGTAGTGTAGTTGTATGTCTGACGTCACACAGCATGTCATGTAGTGTAGTTGTATGTCTGACGTCACACACAACATGTCATGTAGTTTAGTCGTATGTCTTACGTCACACACAGCATGTCATGTAGTGTAGTTGTATGTGACGTCACACACAGCATGTCATGTAGTGTAGTGGTATGTCTTACGTCACACACAGCATGTCATGTAGTGTAGTTGTATGTGACGTCACACACAGCATGTCATGTAGTGTAGATGTATTTATGACGTTACACACAGCATGTCATGTAGTGTTGTTGTATGTGACGTCACACACAGCATGTCATGTAGTGTAGTTGTATGTGACGTCACACACAGCATGTCATGTAGTGTAGATGTATTTATGACGTTACACACAGCATGTCATGTAGTGTAGTTAAATGTATTACGTCACACACAGCATGTCATGTAGTGTAGTTGTATGTCTGACGTCACACACAGCATGTCATGTAGTGTAGTTGTACGTCTGATGTACTCATGCTGCATGTTTGACAGTCTGGCCTACCCATACAGCGTGGTTGTGTTTATTTCCTCATGCATCACACCAATGTATATCCCGACATGTAGGCTAGTTGCATGTCTGACATAGTTCACCTGCCGTCCGACAAATATTGTTGTATGACTTATGTATGTCTGACGTCACACCAATGTACATCCCAACATGTAGGCTAGTTGCATGTCTGACATAGTTCACCTGCCGTACGACAAATATTGTTGTATGACTCATGTATGTCTGACTTAACCCACCAACTGTCCAGCATGCCGTGGTGTGCCCCCCTAGCATTCAACTGTTAGTCCAACATTCACATCTGTCACCTAGCAAGTCTTGTAGTGTATTGCTCTTATGTGCTTCGTTTTTCCATTACATGTACCCAACAATGTATCCAAACTTTTAAAGTCTCTATATTTAAAGGTGAACTAATAACCTTTTAAAAGAAACTACGTATAACTTTATAAAGTATATTGTCGTTTTTATTTTCTTAATAATTTATTCCAATTTTATTTTTGTGTCATTCTTTTTTTTTTATCTAATTGTTGTGCTTCAACTTCTTGTTTTGTATTTACGTGTGCGTATAACAAAATTTATACCTATTGCTGACACTGTTGTTGTAACTATTGTTGTAACTGTTGTGGTAGCTGTTGTTGTAACTGTTGTTGTTTCTGTTGTTGTAACTGTTGTTGCAACTGTTGTTGTAACTATTGTTGAGGTTGTTGTTGTAACTGTTGTTGTAGCTGTTGTTGTAACTGTTGTTGTAACTGTTGTTGCAACTGTTGTTGTAACTTTTGTTGTAGCTGTTGTTTCAATTGTTTAAATTTTTGTTGTAACTGTTGTTGTAGCTGTTTTTGTAACTGTTCTTGTAACCGTGTTTGGAGTTTATAAGGTTGTTGTGTATGTTATGGTAGGGTATGTTATGATAGCGTATGTTATGGTAGTGTATGTTAAACTCTACAGCAGGCGGGAGGGTCAGTACTGGATGATGGTCAACCTTATGTCAAATCTTTACCAAGTCTCAATTATTTTTACGCTCTGTGTGGACCACACAGTAACAGTCAAGTTTCGAACCTAAAACTTGACACTCAAATGGCTAACTACCACGGAACAGTCAAGTTTCTAACCTAAAATTTGGCACTCAAATGGCTAACTACCACGGAACAGATACATGACATGCATTGGAGTATTTCTATGAAACAAAGCAGTGAAACAAATCAAAGTAGAACTGGATATGACGTAACAGGATTTAAAATAATCAGACTTTATATTTCGCACGTGCGATTTATTTTTTTTAGACCAATAATCAATCAATCAATCAATCAATCAATCAATCAATCAATCAATCAATCAATCAATCAATCAATCAATCAATCAATCAATCAATCAATCAATCAATCAATCAATCAATCAATCATGGATTATAAATCGATGAGATCAATAGACACACTCCCTATTGTTGGCCGGCTGCTGGACAATGGGCAGCTAAAAATAACAACGTGGCAGTAAGGGTCTAAGGCTAATGTAATCTCGTCCTATCGCTTGATTGTTTCATGTCTAGACCAAGCTTGAGTGCTATTCCTGTTATATGACACGTCAAGCTTATAACATCAAGACACTAATACAAGCTTGAGTGATCTACCTGTTATACGACACGTCAACTCTATAGCAGGCTGCTAGTGCTACACAGTGTGACGTCTGGATTATCTTACATGAGACATCCAACATCAGCTACTACATAAGACCAACAACATCAGCTACTACATAAGACCAACAACATCAGCTACTACATAAGACCAACAACATCAGCTACTACATAAGACCTCCAACATCAGCTACTACATAAGACCTCCAACATCAGCTACTACATAAGACCAACAACATCAGCTGCTACATAAGACCAACAACATCAGCTACTACATAAGACCAACAACATCATCTACTACATAAGACCTCCAACATCAGCTGCTACATAAGACCAACAACATCAGCTACTACATCTTACCTCCAACATCAGCTGCTACATGAGACCAACAACATCAGCTACTACATCTTACCTCCAACATCAGCTACTACATCTTACCTCCAACATCAGCTGCTACATAAGACCAACAACATCAGCTACTACATCTTACCTCCAACATCAGCTGCTACATAAGACCAACAACATCAGCTACTACATAAGACCAACAACATCAGCTACTACATCTTACCTCCAACATCAGCTACTACATAAGACCAACAACATCAGCTACTACATAAGACCAACAACATCAGCTACTACATCTTACCTCCAACATCAGCTACTACATGAGACCAACAACATCAGCTGCTACATAAGACCAACAACATCAGCTACTACATCTTACCTCCAACATCAGCTGCTACATGAGACCAACAACATCAGCTGCTACATAAGACCAACAACATCAGCTACTACATCTTACCTCCAACATCAGCTGCTACATAAGACCAACAACATCAGCTACTACATAAGACCAACAACATCAGCTACTACATAAGACCTCCAACATCAGCTACTACATAAGACCAACAACATCAGCTACTACATAAGTCCAACAACATCAGCTACTACATCTTACCTCCAACATCAGCTGCTACATAAGACCAACAACATCAGCTACTACATAAGACCAACAACATCAGCTACTACATAAGTCCAACAACATCAGCTACTACATAAGACCAACAACATCAGCTACTACATCTTACCTCCAACATCAGCTACTACATAAGACCAACAACATCAGCTACTACATAAGTCCAACAACATCAGCTACTACATAAGACCTCCAACATCAGCTGCTACATAAGACCAACAACATCAGCTACTACATAAGACCAACAACATCAGCTACTACATAAGACCAACAACATCAGCTACTACATCTTACCTCCAACATCAGCTGCTACATAAGACCAACAACATCAGCTACTACATAAGACCAACAACATCAGCTACTACATAAGACCAACAACATCAGCTACTACATCTTACCTCCAACATCAGCTACTACATAAGACCAACAACATCAGCTACTACATAAGTCCAACAACATCAGCTACTACATAAGACCAACAACATCAGCTACTACATCTTACCTCCAACATCAGCTACTACATAAGACAAACAACATCAGCGACTACATAAGACCAACAACATCAGCTACTACATAAGACCTCCAACATCAGCTGCTACATAAGACCAACAACATCAGCTACTACATAAGACCAACAACATCAGCTACTACATAAGACCTCCAACATCAGCTGCTACATGAGACATCCAACATCAGCTACTACATAAGACCTCCAACATCAGCTACTACATGAGACATCCAACATCAGCTACTACATAAGACCTCCAACATCAGCTACTACATAAGACCAACAACATCAGCTGCTACATCTTACCTCCAACATCAGCTACTACATAAGACCAACAACATCAGCTACTACATAAGACCAACAACATCAGCTACTACATGAGACATCCAACATCAGCTACTACATAAGACCTCCAACATCAGCTACCACATAAGACCAACAACATCAGCTACTACATAAGACCAACAACATCAGCTGCTACATGAGACCAACAACATCAGCTACTACATCTTACCTCCAACATCAGCTACTACATCTTACCTCCAACATCAGCTACTACATAAGACCTCCAACATCAGCTACTACATAAGACCAACAACATCAGCTGCTACATAAGACCAACAACATCAGCTGCTACATAAGACCAACAACATCAGCTACTACATCTTACCTCCAACATCAGCTACTACATAAGACCAACAACATCAGCTACTACATAAGACCAACAACATCAGCTACTACATAAGACCAACAACATCAGCTATTACATGAGACATCCAACATCAGCTACTACATAAGACCAACAACATCAGCTACTACATAAGACCAACAACATCAGCTGCTACATAAGACCAACAACATCAGCTACTACATAAGACCTCCAACATCAGCTACTACATCTTACCTCCAACATCAGCTACTACATAAGACCAAAAACACCAAGTACTGCCCCCCCCCCACCTGCTGTAGAGATCTAAACTGCACGACAGAGAACACACAGATGTCAGAGAACACACTCAAGAAAGAAAAATAACACAGAAAACAGAAATGTCACAAAACACACAAATATTAGAGAACACACAAATGTCAGAGAACACACAGATGTCAACTTTCTCATGAAACCTTTTATTTTTCCATCACTAGTTCTAGCCCAGATACTTGACCTTTGAACTTTGCTTTAATCCCCATGTTTAAAACATTTTGAAATATTTATTTAAAATTTTCATTTTTTCCACCACTTTTTGTCTATTTATATTTTATTTTCATTTAGCTTTTTAAAAATTTGTAATCATGCTTTTTTATATTTTAAAACGAAATAGAAATATAAAAAATGTAAATATGAAAAATAAATAAAAAATCTTTTTTAAACAAAATAAATTTGTAAAACACTCCAGATTTTGTAAAAGTAAATTGATACAACCTCCAACTAACTGCTAACGATTAAAACAGTAGCTGTGCTTGACCTGACCTTGACCTACTTGCAGGTGGTTGAGGGCAAGCTGTTCACGTCATCGTACGACGGGACCCTGAACGTCTGGGACGTCGGGAACGTGGAGGGCGACGCCCAGCTCAAGAACTTCACGGCCGTCCAGAACAACAACGGCGCCAACAACAACAACACGGACAAGGGCAAGGACAAACACAAGGTCAAGGAGGTCGAGAAGTTGGGGGGGCTCGGCGACCCCAAGGGGGGGTCCAAGGACGAGAGGATTGTCATTGACTGAACACGGTACAAAAATGGTTCACCTCACCTGGCGTGGTGTACAATATTGGTACACTTGACTGACGTGGGGAGTAAATGTCGAAGTAGGATGACGTGGGACGTGGGTGGGGAACTTGATAGAACAAATGGACTTAATTTTTCTTTTCATAAAGAACGTTTTAATATCAAGTTTATGTAATAATGCACTATAAAGTAAAAATAAATTATACACTATTATTTAAATAACTATAAAGAAAAGCGTGGGTCGCTTTAGTATCTATTGGATACCTTTACTAATATTTAGGAAGAGACCAACGCTTTTCTTTATAGTTATTTAAATAGTCGGGCGTTTCGATCTAGACAGACAGACAGACTGACGAGGAAGTGAGTTAAATAAAAGCTTTTTAAAAAGTTATTAAACGGATAGTAAAGGGATTGTGCACTTGTTACATAACAGAATAGGATTGAAGTTTAACCTTGAGTTTAACTGGTGTTAGGGTGGTGGGGTGGTGGGGTGGTTACTATAAATGTTGATTCTAGTAACAGATTTTATGCAGGTAAAACTACAATGTCACACTGTTATGTTATGTAACATGTGGATGATCCTATGAGTTGGTACACGGAATATTTGAACCAAAGACCACGCCCACATAGGAAGTATTTTGAAAGCTATTTTTAGCTCGTTGACGGACTGGATTGAGTTGCACTGTGTTAACATTTTTCTCTTTTTTATGCTGTCATAATTTTACTCATATTTAATTTTTTTCTCGAACAAAAGTTTGATACATTTGTCCTTTTTTTTAATTGCGCGCAAACATAGTAACTCCTGTTATACATATTAATTTGCATTACAGAACTTCAATTGAAAATGTATTCACTGTTAGTTGCTGTGGGTTTGAAACCTTTATTAATTAATTTATTTTACTTAAAGGAATACAGGCCTATTTAAAAAAAAATCATACTTCAAATCGAATAAAATGTGAGTGATTATGTTATGAAAAACTTGTTTGCACGTCAACAACAGACATTGATTGTGTGCACATCTGGTTTAATTTTTTGTGATATCGAATTTCTAACTGCTGGACTTGTATCTTCATCCAATCAACTATTTTTATACCAGCGCCCGATCTACGAGAGCGGGTATTTTATTTAAATTTTTGTGTCACGTGATGTCGGTGTTCCCGTCACGCGTGGCACGTGATTACATGGTCACGTAACCAGGCGCCATGAAGTGTGAGGACTTCGTGCCGTCTGCCCAGGAAATATTTATCCCCCTTATCAGTAATTCTCCCTGAAGTATAAGGTCACTCAGGCTAGGAAGGTCTGTAATCATTTCCGGTCGGGGAATTTCCCGACAAGGACAACACATAACGCTTGTGTGTCAGGATTACCACGCGATATAAATATCTCCATTTTAAATGAAGATCATGGACACGTAGACTACACAAATAAATATCGTGAGTTTGCTCCTTATTCTGTTTTGAATTGGATTTGAGCCTAAAATAAATAAATTGCTATAAATAGCCCGTTAAACTTGATCAGTTGACCTACTTAAATCAATCAACACTCACTTGATTATTGATGGAAAACTTTTCCTGTCGGGAGCAATTATAAATTTTTATTGATTGAATTTTGGGTTTAATGTTTTGATTGGTCACCCCCCCCCCCCCGCCCTGCGTGGATTCTGGTGGGTTTTTTTTGTTATGGTCGTTAACCTGTGTGTTTGCGTGTGTATGTGTGTGTGTCTGTCTGTTTGTGTCTGTATGTGTGTGTGTGTGATTGTGTGCTCTATTACAAGTCAACTAGTACACCAATCCTCCTGTTAGATTCAGATATTTATCAAATAAATCTCCACATGGAAGATCTCAATCCATCCAAATAACTCGGGCTAGATCTGTTGTCTGAAGTTATCGTCACTTTAGGAAAATTGTTACACCGAAGTTATCGTTGACTCTATGAAATCTGTTGTCTGGGGTTACAGTCTCTCTATGAAAACGCCCACCTCACCCCCTCCTCCCCAACCTAGTCAGGCATCCTTAAGAGAACGTGACCTTGTGTGTACCCTTTTAATATTTGACCTTTGAACTCTTTTCATTTATTTTTAAATGTTTCAATTGTTTTTCTTTGCACAAAAATGTTGACAAATTTCTTGCTGTAAATTACTGCTGAATCTCTCGATACTTGTGGAAAATATTTTTTTATATTTATTGTATACAATAATTTATTTGTATTTTTTAGAAGTTTAAATTGAAAGTACATTTAGAAAGTCAAAAGCTACACGATTGTAATTGAAACGATCACAATACTTTATTTTACAAAGATAACGCAACAATATTTTTAAAAAATACTTACAATTGTGTTAAGATAAAAATTTATTTAAAAAAGAAAAACAAATAACTAAATTTTAAATGTTTTGTAAAGTATTTTAATTTAAAAAAAAAAAATATTGTAATTACTGAACAATTCTTGAAATTTTGTGTACATAAAACTTGTTATTGTTCAATAAATTCGTCTCAACTAACTTGACTTTGTTATTCATTGATAGATCCTAACCATAACATTGTGGATCACAGGATTGTGAACGTAATACAGTTACTGAATCGTAGTGGTCAAATATGAGATTTACTTTTGTGTGCTGCTATACTTACAGTTTATTGAATTAGCCTACATTTTTACATCCGTCGAAACTTTGATATTAATGTGTCAGTGTTGAAGTGGAACTGTCATAAGTCAGTGTTGAAGTAGAACTGTCATATGTCAGTGTTGAAGTGGAACTGTCATATGTCAGTGTTGAAGTGGAACTGTCATATGTCAGTGTTGAAGTGGAACTGTCATACGTCAGTGTTGAAGTGGAACTGTCATATGTCACGTCAGTGTTGAAGTGGAACTGTCATATGTCAGTGTTGAAATGGAACTGTCATATGTCAGTGTTGAAGTGGGACTGTCATATGTCAGTATTGAAGTGGAACTGTCATATGTCCGTGTTGAAGTGGAACTGTCATATGTCAGTGTTGAATTGGGACTGTCATATGTCAGTGTTGAAATGGAACTGTCATATGTCATGTTAATGTTGAAGTGGAACTGTCATATGTCATGTTAATGTTGAAGTAGAAATGTCATATGTCAGTGTTGAAGTGGAAATGTCATATGTCAGTGTTGAAGTTGGACTGTCATATGTCAGGTCAGTGTTGAAGTTGAACTGTCATATTTCAGTGTTGAAGTAGAACTGTCATATGTCACGTCAGTGTTGAAGTGGAACTGTCATATGTCAGTGTTGAAGTTGGACTGTCATATGTCATGTCCGTGTTGAAGTGGAACTGTCATATGTCAGTGTTGAAGTAGAACTGTCATATGTCATGTCCGTGTTGAAGTGGAACTGTCATATGTCAGTGTTGAAGTAGAACTGTCATATGTCAGTGTTGAAGTGGAACTGTCATATGTCACTGTTGAAGTGGAACTGTCATATGTCAGTGTTGAAGTGGAACTGTCATATGTCAGTGTTGAAGTGGAACTGTCATATGTCATTGTTGAAGTGGAACTGTCATATGTCCGTGTTGATGTGGAACTGTCATATGTCAGTGTTGAAGTGGAACTGTCGTATGTCACGTCAGTGTTGAAGTGGAACTGTCATATGTCACGTCAGTGTTGAAGTGGAACTATCGTATGTCACGTCAGTGTTGAAGTGGAACTGTCATATGTCACGTCAGTGTTGAAGTGGAACTGTCGTATGTCACGTCAATGTTGAAGTGGAACTGTCATATGTCATTGTTGAAGTGGAACTGTCATATGTCAGTGTTGAAGTGGGACTGTCATATGTCACGTCAGTGTTGAAGTGGAAGTGTCATATGGCAGTGTTGAAGTAGAACTGTCATATTGCAGTTAGATATTAAGACGACTTTTGCTTCTTAATAGCGTTGGAAAGGGGCCCACAATCCGTTGTGATTTTACAATGTAAAATGTTCGTTTTTTGTATTGGTAGAACTACTATTATGTATTATCCAGTATTCTACAAATAATCGTCAAGAATATAATAATAATTTCGGTTTTGTGTACGTTTACTAATTTTTGGCTTTAGGAAAAGTAGTTGCGACCATCCCAACTTCGGTACTGATTGATAGAAGCACATCGGCGTTGTGCCTTTTAGATCCTTTCCGAAGAGCCTGGCATGTCGGACTCCCAAATTCCTTACATTATAGCGTAGGGGGGGGGGTGAGGTCTGATCGCGACCCTAACCAGATATGATGACTTTAAGCTGCGGCCTTCACATGGTTTCGGAAAAGTGCCACTAATCGGTCGGACCAAGCTCATGACCCCCCCCCCCCCCTAGTGGGTGCGGAATGGCTAGTGGTAGATAACAAAGAATTAATTGGAGATTTATAATCAATTAATCAATTAATAAATGATGTGTATAGTCTTTTGGGTGTCATCAAAAAAGCATGACGTCATTTATGGATGTCCCTTAAATCTGGTTTTCTTCCGCGTGAGCTGGGCACATACAGGGCACATACAGGGCACATACAGCTGTACACGTGAACACCGTGTGACTGTGAGCTGGGCACATACAGCTGTACACGTGAACACCGTGTGTCTGTCTTTTATGTAGTACTGCACCCTTCATTTGGTGTCCTGCAGAGGTGGATAGGTGTACTACTTGAATCATCAGTCTCGCTACATTAGAGACCTCCGCCGGGGGAGGGGGTGGGTGGGATGGGCTTTATTTTAATAGTTTTGCCACTGGCACCTTGTAACTAACAAACAGATCTACCACAGTAGTGATGTTGTTGCGTAAAAAAGTATACACATAGCTGTAGTGTGAAAGGCAGGCAAACATTCAAATCACCTCCGTTATTTCCCTTTTTTAAATAGTCAAATAGGGGTACTCATAAGCTCCTTCTATTAGATTTGTCCTAAACAAATTAAAAAGCAATTACTTATCTTAATTATTATCAGAGTTTCTTCCAAGCATCTCTTTGGGGGAGGGGGGAGAACGAAATGGAATTTATATAGAAAATATATAATTTTGACAGTGTCCGTCCCCCCGGAAATTGTTGTCCGCCCCCCCCCCCCCCGAAAATTTCAAGTGCACCCCGGACTGGAGAAAAAAGTCTGGAAGAAACAAAAGATTATTATATTTTAAAAAGTACTTACTAAAGAATAACATTATATAAAAAAGATTATTATATTTTAAAAAGTACTTACTAAAGAATAACATTATATAAAAAAGAAATTCATTTAAAATGAAAAATATAAATACAAAAAAAATAAAAAATAATAAACATAACACGAGACACCGTTACTTATACATAGTTTTCATGTTTTATATTTTTTTTAACCGACTTGAAAATTAGAGGTCTTATGGCAGAGATAAAATGAAACGGATATTCAAATCAGACTAATGCACTTACACACATGACATGTTGATGTAATTTATGTTGATGTAATATATATATATATATATATATATATATATATATATATATATATATATATATATATATATATATATATATATATATATATATATATATATATATATATATATATATATATATATTATATATATATATCACATTTTTTTGGGTGGCCCTTTTTTTCTAGTTTAGCCACTGGTGTAATGGTTAAAATTCTTAGTTCTCAGTTATACATTGAAATGAAGAAACAACACGTAAAGTTTATTAAAACACGAAGTTTGCGATAAAATCTATTATTTATGCTGTGATGTCGATTACATACTTTCGGAAATAATCTATTTTAAAAATAGATTTCTAGGAATACTATTTTTAACACCTACGCATGGGAAAACACAACATCCCAGCATTCAACTTCTCAGCAAGGTAAGCCATTTTACGACCATTAAAATCTTTTTAAAATGAACTAACACAAAATATAATAAATCGGTAAATAGTTATTTACTTTACATAAATATTTGTAAAGTCTAAAATGAATACAATCATTATTTTTAAGAATTCGCGTAGACCTACAAAAATATCTTCTTAATTTCCAATACTAGATTAATTAAATTTATTTAAATATTTAGGTATGTTGAGTAGATCTAGATCTAGATCTAGTATCTAGGTATAGAATATTTAATATTTGTTTTTTTTTATTAAGCACCCGTTGACGTAAAAATGTTTAAAAAATGTTTTTTAAACGTGAAATGGAATACCACACACCTTTCTGATAAAACTCATAATTTACTTTATCAACCTGAGTCTTGTGCTTTTGTAGCCAGTTGAATGATTTGGGAGGAGTCTGGCAGTATAGATCTACCTAGACTAGACCAAATTTGTAAAATGTCGGCCTAAGCACAATTTTTATGATTTAAAAAAAAAAAGGGCCCGTAGGCCTCTACACAAAAGATTATTTAATTATACAACAATAATACAATAAGCTGATATCTACATTAATTTGTACTCGTCGTGGTGGAAGGACGGTCAATAACGTAAGCCCTAAAATAAAAGCGAACTTTCTCGATTTTTGTTTTGAATGAAAATCGCAGCTATGCAGCTAATTGTTTAACACAATAAACAGTAAATGTATAACAAGTATTTCATTTCTTTATTTTAATTGAAAGAGGAAATATGTTGCACACTAAACTTCGTTCGTTAACTAAAATAAATGGATTTAGTTTACGTTTATAGCTTTAAAAATCTGGATGTCAATTTTAATCAATGTGTGGGCAGTATCGATATCATGTTCAATAATATTTCATACATTTTTAGTTTGTTTAATTTAAATATCAAATTAGAGTTAGCAAGTGTTCATTTAATGTAATTTATAATCCCTTTTATTGTTCGTTTCAATAATAAAAAGGGCCTACTCCTTTACATTTTACTAGGTATTAGTAATGTTACCAAACTATGGAGTGTAATCAAATATCGATGCGATTTCTTATACTCTATCCGCCATATACATTACTTCTAGATTCTAGATCTATTGCAGTTGTACTAGCAGACGACATTGTTGCTTCTTCAAACTCAACTTTCTTTATTTAGATCTAGAATCTAGATCTAGATTTGATTTATCTATCTAGATAGATCTATTCTAGATCTAGACTCTAGCTAGACTCTAGAATACTCTAGATCTAGATTCTAGATCTAGATCTACTCTAGCGCTGCTAGATCTAAATCTAGATTCTAGATCTAGTACTAGATTCTGGGTGTGGGGAAATTGCGAGACGCGAAAAGCGAAATGGCGAGGCGGGAAAATGCGAGAACGTAATGCGAGACATACCTGCGGAATTAAGGGGAAATAGCGAGACACTATTTGCGAAAAAAAAAATTTCATGCTTTTTTCATCTTATTTATTTAAATTATTTTTTGTTTTGTTTTAAAATAAACAAGCATTTAGCCATACCCTTTAACACGAGTGTTGTATGTTGTTATTTTTTATCTAGATTTTATTATTATCGTTAGGCCTATTTATTTAAATTATGTTTATTATTATAGATAGATACTAAGAAGATAGATAGATCTATATCTAGATCTATCTATTTAAAATTCCTAACATCGTTGCTGTGCTACTGTCATCGCCCGCTCTCGTTAGCGAGAGGAAAATCCCGTCTCAGTCGGCATTAATTTTAAAAATCTAGTCCGCTCATGTTTATACAAACGTGAGCTGTGTCATTGTGAATTGGTATAATCTTGTCAGCAGGAGAGATATTCTGCAACATGTATTTATGGATTTTTGTGTAAAAATATAATCAATTCTAAAAAGTGCAATTTATTTTTTTATTATGTAATTTTAATTACAAACAAAATTTACATACAAAATCTTCTGAAACAGTCCTCAAACACACCTCGTGACACCATCTTTCACACATAGTACACCCAACCCAGTTCATTAGACTCCCATTTATACATTTATCTTTTGCTACTTCTTCCAATCCACATTCACAACATTTCACATTCTCCTCGTTCATCCCACAAACAACACTGGCACCCATGTTCTCATCATCATCATCCGCACGCTCAACATCTGTTTTCCGTTTTTTATAATTTGTATTTTTTATCATTTCGGTAATTTTTGCAATTTCTTGATCATTGTGGTCACCAGCCGGATCAACGTCAGCGGGGCGTGGACGTTTACGCCCTGAAGTTTTATCCTGGCGCTTCTTTGCAGCTTTTCTTAGTTGTGTTAGATTTATTGATTTCTTGTTGCTGACTGTTGATAATCCAACTGCCTGTCTGGCCGCCACGATGTGATAGCAATTACCAACGGCCGGACAGGAGCATGTTTCCCTTGGAAACAGGGTGACCACCCTGGGGTCTGTTGACCCTTTAATAGTGAATGTACCAAGTTTATTATTTAAACTTATCAGTTCATTGTCAATCACGAATTGTGCCCTTTCGGCAACAGTTGAACAAACAGGCAAACAGTCCTTCCCTAAGGGTGCAGTAACTAAAACTGCTTCTTGTAAATTCTCTCGAATTCTTTCCACTATCTCTTCGGGGTTAACTGCAGGTGGAATGACTGTATGCTCCTCCCTATACAGGTGAACAAGATCATCCTTAAGCACCCAATTTCCTCTATACGTTTCTGTGACGTAGAACTGTCCAAGCCTGAAGAGGCTCAGGACCATTGCGTCAACGGGCGCTTCCTTCCAGTTATTCATTCTTTTAAGAACTGCATTGAACGATTCACTTTGGTTCGCTGATATTTCGGAAAGGCCGTAATCTGCTAAGACCCAAGAACCCAGTTTGTTCATTGATGGGTGAACATTTTTGCTGAAATACTCTGTAAAAGGTAAGCTCCATCTGGAAATAAGAGATATGAAGTTATCCTTGTATTCTTCTTCACTTGTTGCCTGCAGAAGGGATTTTACAGTGTCAATATAATATGCCATTTCATCAGATGACTGTACCCCATGGGACCTAAGCCATCGCTTGCAGTCCTGCAGTACATGGTTCCAACACATAAAACGCTGCAGATTTGGAAAACTGCCCTGGATTGCATCAATTATAGACTTTTCCTGGTCTGTGACTATAATGACTTGCTTAGAGGTATTTGTTGTTTTCCTTTCATGAATCATGAAGGCAAGTGGTATAACTGGTTCACTCGTGAATTCCGTTTCACGAAACAAAAGCACGGAGACGTAAAAGTCCCCTAGGCAGAATGTCGTGTCATATGACAACTGTTGGACGCAATTTGTTTTCTTTAAAGTGTCCCGAAATACTTGAATGGTCTCATCCATCCACATTACAAGAGTTAGGTCTGGGTGGGACGTGATGTGGCGTACAAAATTGGTATCCAAGGCAATTTCATGCAAATTATACAAGGCATCCCTTGCCATGTGCAAAGTCCCTAGCCACTGTTTCGTCGCCCAAGTACTGTATCAGAACAGCTTTTGGATGGTCAGGGTGAAAATGGGCTATTCTAGTGAAGCCTTTGCTCCATTGACCTGGACCGGTGTATATCTTGAAATACTTTTTGGTTATTGTGCTTCGAGTACACGAGCCACCTTGTCTCCATCTGTAACCATCGGCTCTCCAGTCATCTGACAATTACAAGAAATTTATAAGTTAGATACGACAAATAGGTAAGTTAATTTGATACACGGGTGTGTGAAATGGGATAGTGAGGGTTCTATTCTGGACGTCATGAATGAATGTTGTCTGGAATTGAATACATAGATTACTCACCTTTGTTTTTATCTTCTGTCCACGTATAAATATAGCTGGTTCCACTTGGGGGTCTATGTCTTACCAAAAATTCAACAGGTAATGAGTTAAATAACTCTTCCATTTTTCTGAGGAAAAAGATAAACTAAGTTACTGATGTTAATTTATAGCAAAAATACCATTTAATAGCTAAAAGGGGTCATCTATAAATGATGTCACGCTTTTTGACGATTTTTACCCCCCCCCCCCCACCTCCGTCACACATCATCACAAAAAACCAGACCCCCTCCCCCCCCACTAAAATGACACCTCAGCCGACAACCCCTCTCAAAATTGCAGTTGAGTTTTTTAAAACATCGATATTTTCCCACAATCTTGTCTAATTTCGGTCAAAATAGAGTATTTTACTCAATTCCTATTACAATGTATTAAAACAGTTTTATAAAACGCTTTTTTATAGTGTGACTTCAAAAAATCTAACCCCCCTCCTCCCCCTCATCACACATCGTCATAAAATTACAGACCCCCCTCACCCCCCCCCCTTACGAGTGTGACGTCATTTCTGGAAGACCCCCAAACACCACCACCACCAAAACCAAAAAATTCAGATAAGTTCAACTTGGTTTTAAAAAATATTTGAAGTAGGCCCATAGCTTAAGATATAGCACGAGCAACTGATAATATCGGTGACGTCACTTTTTCCCCCAAACAGTAAGTAAGAGAAAAAAAAACTGGGACATTGAGAGTTCATAAAAGCTTAGGAATAAGCAACACATAAGGGAGGGTTAATCTAGTCCTCACCTTCACATAGGGCAGTAATCGCATACTTAATTTGAGATTATTTTTTCTGACTTATTTATGGAAATAATAAATAATAAATTTTATATATATATATATATATATATATATATATATATATATATATATATATATATATATACAATTAATTAATAAATAATAATATAACATTTATGGGAAAATTCGGAAAAGTCACAACCGTGATATAAAATCTAATATAAATTAGTGTAAAGGAACATTGGAAGAGAAAACACACAGTAAGTAGTTCTTACCTCCAGAATAGTTGAATCCAAATGATGTAGGCATTCCCTTGAGCTTAGATTTATATGGTAAAAAAAAGCTAGAAAAAATCGTAGGCGGCGCGGCGGCTATAATACAAAATTTCTATGCAACAATAGAAAATATGTTTGCGGCGGCAGCGGATCAGGGCACGGCGATCTTCAAAGACGGTGAATCAGGCGGCCTCGGCGTTCTACACAAAAGACAGAAGTTGATCTATCGTCGGCGGTATTTCCGTCGGTTTCGAACAAGGTGATAATCTAAGTCGACACAAAAGATGGGGGAGTTGACAAATCATCAGTATGTCTAGCGACGGAAAAATCGGAAGTTTTAACAATGTAAACGAAACGTCTTTGAAGTCTGGACCAAATACCACTAAAAATCGGGTGCGGTAAATTTTTCGCAGAAATCTTCGCATTTCTTCACCACCCAGCGTAAGTATCGGGTTGTGGGAAAATGCGAGACAAAAAAGTCACGTGACAGACCGTTTTCGCGCCCTTCTCGCATTTTCCCGCCTCGCCATTTCGCTTTTCGCGTCTCGCAATTTCCCCACACCCCTAGATTCTAGATCTAAGTACTAGAACTAGAGTCTAGATCTAGAATCTAGATTAAAACAATGTTTAGAATAGAATGTTTTATTTTTTGTACATTGTGTTGTTACTGTACAATTTTCTCACTCTGTAGTGTCTAAGCTGTCTTGCTCTAGGCTACCTACTCTTAGTCTTAGCCTTTTGGTTAGGTTTTAGATCTAGATCTAGTAGATATAGATCTAGGGACTCTGACTCTTAGACGTCTTAGTTAGTAATATTTATATTAGTAACTTTTACTCAGTTTTTACTGTAACAGTCTAACAAAATCTAGTCTTGTGTAGTAAAGTACTAGTCTAGATCTATTAGCTAGAGTACTAGACTGTAACGAGAGTATTCAAAGTCTAGAGACTAGTCTAAATATTAAATAATCTAATAATAAGTCACTAACTTTACCTTTTAAGGGCTTTTAGCAGCCTGAGCCCTAGGGCTTAGTTCTTAGAAGATATTTAAATAAAATAAGCCTAGGCCTATATATATATATATATATTCATATTCTATAGATCTAGACTAGTAAGATTCAGATCTAAAGACTATGGAATACTAAAGATTATCAAAATGTATTTAGGCCTATATCATAAGCCCATAATAGTCATTATACTTATAGTATAGATCTAGACTCTAACATTAATAAAACTAGAGTACTGTAGAATAGTCTAGAATTTATTTTTGATTAATACTTTACACAGTTCTAGCTAGATCTAGTTCTCTAATTTAGTTTTTTTGTTAACTAGATCTAGATCTATCCATAAACTGCTAAACACAGTCAATACAAAACAAGTTTTACGCAGACCGTATAGACATATTTCCCAATAAAGAAAACAATTTAACACACATTCTATCATTAAAAAAAAATATTTTTTAAAAAGTAGTGGAGTACATAGATCTAGAATCTAGACATAACAAATAATCAAATATCTATAAGTTTTTTTTTTAGACAAAATCCTCGGCCTACAGTAAAAAACTATAAAACTTGCTGACAACTTATTTTTTAATTTCAGATTCAATAAATATGTTTAGCCTAAAATGTTTTGCCTGCAGTAATCACTTTCAATTATTGTTTTTATTTCATAGGCCGTTTGATAAGTTTTTTATTAATAAAAAAATTGTTGGTAAAAATTTGTATGTTTTATTCATGTATGTCTGTCCAATATTCCCTGGCTCTAAAATAACAGGAACATTTTCATCTCCAGATCAGACATAGAATGCAGATGAAGAGGTCTTAAATATTCAGCCAACATCAGACATCACAAGCTCAGCCAACATCAGACATCACAAGCTCAGCCAACATCAGACATCATAAGCTCAGCCAACATCAGACATCACATGCTGAACCAACATCAAACATCACAAGCTCAGCCAACATCAGACATCACAAGTTCAGCCAACATCAGACATCACATTGGAAAAACGTTGGATTAGATCTACACAGCTACACCTAATGGTCAGTTTTCTGATATTTATCTCATACTTCTGTGTGTGTTTTTAGCCATACTGACACAGGCAGAAAGAATATTTTATCTGGGTATTGTAGGTATGGATTTTCATTTTTTTAAAAGTGTAAACACAGGTAAACATAAAAGACATCAGTTGAGAAGGTGAAGTAGACTTCACCAATTGTCTTCTATGAAGATATTGTGTTTGTCTGCATTGCACCTAGCTGTCATCACTTCCCCAATTTAGAATCAGGAACTCATCTGTACAGGGTAGATTTGAATGTTCACAAGACCCATCTGTACAGGGTAGATTTGAATGTTCACAAGACCCCATCTGTACAGGGTAGATTTGAATGTTCACAAGACCCCATCTGTACAGGGTAGATTTGAATGTTCGCAAGACCCATCTGTACAGGGTAGATTTGAATGTTCGCAAGACCCCATCTGTACAGGGTAGATTTGAATGTTCGCAAGACCCCATCTGTACAGGGTAGATTTGAATGTTCACAATACCCCATCTGTACAGGGTAGATTTGAATGTTCACAAGACCCCATCTGTACAGGGTAGATTTGAATGTTCACAAGACCCCATCTGTGCAGGGTAGATTTGAATGTTCACAAGACCCCATCTGTACAGGGTAGATTTGAATGTTCACAAGACCCCATCTGTACAGGGTAGATTTGAATGTTCGCAAGACCCATCTGTACAGGGTAGATTTGAATGTTCGCAAGACCCCATCTGTACAGGGTAGATTTGAATGTTCGCAAGACCCCATCTGTACAGGGTAGATTTGAATGTTCACAATACCCCATCTGTACAGGGTAGATTTGAATGTTCACAAGACCCCATCTGTACAGGGTAGATTTGAATGTTCACAAGACCCCATCTGTGCAGGGTAGATTTGAATGTTCACAAGACCCCATCTGTACAGGGTAGATTTGAATGTTTGCAGTGAGTTTGAGAGTAAACTTGGGTAATGTGAGTTTAATACTTTTTTTTCAGGTGAATTTGACAGCGATGGGAAATACAGGTGGAAAGAAAAGCAAACATCAGTCGGAAGATGACGGTAAAATAATAATTTCATTACAGAAGATTTTTTTGTGTAGATTTATTTACATCTTGTTTGCATAGCATTGAAGTAAACATTTATAAATATGCAATTCAATGGTCTCGGTCGCAAACCGTCTAACTCCGAAAATGTAAATTTTACAGGAGAGACAAAAAACTGATTATTTCCTACTCGATCGCTCTAATACTAATTTTTTAAAAAGATTTCTCCGAAGAAACTCCCTACCGACTATACTGTAGCGTTTTAAAATGAGTTTAATTAATATTTACAAAATTATAGCAGGTTTAAAAAGATAGACGGTTTGCTCAGTCTAAAATTCTCGGTGCAAACCGTCTATCTGTGCGCGCGCAGACTTAGCTGTTTATCGCTTTCGACTGTATTCATTATGTCTGTATTTAGCACTAGACTTGTTAACTGTTGAAGGTTATGCTTTATTTATTACATCTTTCTATTCTCACAGTTTATTTTACTAAATCTGGTGGGTGCTGGGTTTATAGAATGATAATAGTAAAAACATTAACCTTATTGTCAGATATATTATGAATGAGACATAACACATTAATCACATTAATAATGACTTAATGTTTACTTATTTTACAAAAATGTAACACATAAAAATGTGTTTATTTTTAAAATTTATTCTTTGAATAAACGTCACATAAAGAAAAATTAAAATGGCAACATATTTTTAAAATCAGGGAAATCATCATAAAACGGTGTGTTTATGACTTGCTTTTAGGTGCTCAAATATGACAGCTTTTATCTTTTTTTTCTGCTCTTGTACAACTTGACAGGGGCTACAGATGAGATCATAATCTTACGACCCTAGCTTAGAAATTGCCAGCTATCTGCTAATTCACTTTGAAGTAGACAGTAGCATCAGGCTTGTACTGCAGTGCATGAATATCTGTCGCTTTGAATTCTTGATAGGTCTGATTGGTCTTTTGAGATCGGCTGGTCTCTTGTATGGTAAGGCTGGTCTTTTTGAGAGAGGTTGGTGTCTAATGTCTGTAGTGTGAGGCTGGTCTATTGTATGTTACGACTGGTCTGTTGAGAAAGGCTGGTGTCTTGTGTTGTAGGACTGGTGTGTTGAGAGAGGCTTGTCTATTGTAGGATAAGACTAATCTTTTGAGAGAGGCTGGTCTCTTGTATGGTAAGAATGGTCTGTTGAGAGAGGCTGGTATCTTGGAGGGTAAGATTGGTCAGTTGAGAGAGATTGGTCTTTTGTATATTACGACTGGTCTGCTGAGAGAGACTGGTCTCTTGTGAGTTACTGGTGCCTTAATGTTACGACTGGTCTGTTGAGAGATGCTGGTGTCTTGTATGGTAAGACTGGTCTGTTGAGAGAGACTGATATGTTGAGAGGCTGGTCTGTTGAGAGAGGCTGATATGTTGAGATAGGCTGGTCTGTTGAGAGAGGCTAGTCTGTTGAGAGAGGCTGGTCTGTTGAGAGAGACTGATATGTTGAGAGAGGCTAGTCTTTTGAGAGAAGAGGCTAATCTGTTGAGAGAGGCTGGTCTGTTGAGAGAGGCCGGTATGTCAAGAGGCTGGTCTGTAGAGAGAGGCTGGTATGTCGAGAGGCTGGTCTGTAGAGAGAGGCTGATCTGTTAAGAGAGGCTGGTCTGTTGAGAGAGGTTGGTATGTCGAGAGGCTGGTCCGTTAAGAGAGGCTGGTATGTCGAGAGGCTGGTCTGTTGAGAGAGGCTGATCTGTTAAGAGAGGCTGGTCTGTTGAGAGAGACTGGTCTGTTGAGAGAGGCTAATCTGTTGAGAGAGGCTGATATGTTGAGAGAGGCTGGTCTGTTGAGAGAGGCTGGTCTGTTGAGAAAGGCTGGTATGTCGAGAGGCTGGTCTGTTAAGAGAGGCTGGTCTGTTGAGAGAGGCTGATCTGTTGAGAGAGGCTGGTCTGTTAAGAGAGGCTGATCTGTTAAGAGAGGCTGGTCTGTTGAGAGAGGCTGATCTGTTAAGAGAGTCTGGTATGTTAAGAGAAGCTGGTCTGTCGAGAGAGGCTGGTCTGTTATGTGGTAAGACTGGTGTGTTAAGAGATGCTGGTCTGTTAAGAGAGGCTGGTATGTTGAGAGAGGCTGGTGTGTTGAGATAGGCTTGTCTGTTGAAAAATTAATCATAAAAGCATTTACTAAAGACAACTAACCATGTCGTTGAACATGTACGCCAAACATTTTGTAACCTACCATATAAACATTTCTTAACACGTATCTTAACCCTCAATCTAAAGCTAGTAGTGAATTAACAATTATTAATTTATTGCACATTCTTGTGGAAATATAATTCGAATTATATTGTTTTGATTGATATTTTGATTCTAGAATGAAGGTCTAGTTTCAAAGCATTGTGTTAGCCTAAAAAATTGTAAACAAATCAATTTGGTTATTGACAATCTGGAAATAGGCTATATTAAACAAATACTATTTGTTTATTATTCTTTAAAATGATAAAATGTAATAGAATAGTTGAACATAATTAATCAAATATCCTTACCTATAAGTACCGTGACTGCTGTGCTGTAAAATTGTGTAATTGCGTTCCCGATCAAAAGGGTACTGACAAATATAGCGATATTCGTTTTGCGCCGAGATTTTTAGCGCTAGAAATAATAGGCGGTTTGTTCAAATGATTATATCTCAATAATCATTCTACAGATTTCTCTAATATCTTCAGGCATTATGGGGAATCATATTGGCTTTTGATTTATGTAAAAAAAAGAAAATCAAATTTTTTTTGAGTTAGACGGTTTGCGACCGAGACCATCGAATTGCTTTGCAAATACAAAAATAATTTATTGAAAGCTTAAATTTATGATTATGATAATTTAAATATTTTTTTCAGATGTAACACAAAGCCATTGTCAGACAAAAAAGTTAAAAGAAAAAAATACTAAAGGATGTTTCATACCAGGTGAGTATCTGATTGTATGAAAAATATACAAGTGTGGGAAGGTAAATGCATACAGATTGTATAAAAAAATGTACAAATGTAGGAAGGTAAATGTATACAGATTGTATAAAAATTTACAAATGTGGGAAGGTAAATGTATACAGATTGTATTAAAAAAATGTACAAATGTAGGAAGGTAAATGTATACAGATTGTATAAAAAAAATGTACAAATGTTGGAAGGTAAATGTATACAGATTGTATAAAAAATGTACAAATGTGGGAAGGTAAATGTATACAGATAGATTGACCACATGATTCAAGACTTCAAGGTCAAAGTTTTTATTACATCTGAAAAACTGGTAGAGGCTGTAGGTCATCCTAAGGTCCAACTAACTCTGAATGTTAATGAACAGTTAAGAATATTTTCGAAGTAATTTAAGAGACCTATAAGATATTTTTAAAATCTTTCACGATGTTATTAAAATTAATATGATCATAAAAACCTGACTGGTTTTAGTCTGACTTGTATAAAGATTGGATGTATTTGACCTTCTAGTATTTTCTGTAATGAAGAAATAACTCAATAATTTCCATTGTCACTACTGGACTAGCTATATGGCTATTAGATAATTAATAATGTTTAAACAATTATTTTGCAGTTAATCACATTATAAATCATAGAAACACGTAAACTCTGCTTTATCTGCTCTGTTTTAGTGCAGATTTGAAATTTCAATTATTTATTTTAGCTATTTCCCTTGTTTTCTTATGCTCAATGTAAAAATTTAAAATATCATTTTTTTTAAAATGTAAATTCCCTCCCCTTGTACCTCTCCAGGACATCATGAAGCCGAGATCTGCTATGGAGGTGAAGCTGACTTACACAAGCACTATACCAGCTGTAAGAAGAATCCAGGTCATGTCAACTTTATACCTGTTAATGATTTTAACTTGGATCATCTCCCCTCACGTTACCATGACGTCATCATGTTGGAGCTAATCAAAGCTTTGTCTGCCCTAACGGTCCTGATAAAGGTCAAGTACACCAGTCTAGAGAGACCGAAGACTGTTGCAAGCTTCAGTGGTCAGTATCCATTTTATAACAACAGAGGAAGTGACGTGTTGAGGACAGGGACGGGGAGGGTGTGTGGTGTGGTCAAGTACACAGAGTGACAACAAGGGCACTTGTCCATGTGGTAAGTGTCAACACTCGGACACACCCAGCAAAGTGTGGGGGGAGGTTCGTGTGAGGACAGCCAGACACGTGGTGTTTGATGAGAGTGAGGCGAGACAGACCATGTGTGTTGTAGGTTTTGATGACAATAAAAGTCCAGTGGTCAGTCTTGATGGCTGGGAGGTGGGGTATGCAGACATTGGGAGAGACTGGTGTCAGTTTACATGTGTGTCATGTGACTTAGAGTTGGTTGATGAACTGGACAAGATGTGTCGGCACTTTGATGGTCTATGTAGGGAAGTATGGGACAAATACAGATTTGTTGGTGTGGACAAGTTGACCGTTATAGTGTCACATCCTCATGGCTGCCCTAAACAGGTCTCTGTAGGACCATGGACACACAAACATAAGAGGAAAGTTTGGTACAAGTACACGTACACAACATGTACATGTCCTGGCTCCAGTGGAGCGTGTGTCTACATTCTGGGATATGACGGGTGGCGGTCACGTCCCCACAGTGGATCAAACTCTGAAGGAAATTATAGTGGGGAGGGTTTGTGCTGATCCATCTGTAACTGTTGGTTCTCTCCCCTTGTCTAATGTAACTGTTGGTTCTCTCCCCTTGTCGAATGTAACTGCTGGTTCTCTCGCCTTGTCTAATGTAAACAAACAAAATGGCGGCTCCTTCACGTCATTTGTTTAGAGTTGTTAGACACATAAACAAAATTATAAACAAATGTTTATTGTTGAGAAATGAAATATTTATAGGCTACACTTGTATCTTTGTTTTGTTTAAACCCCCACATTAGATTTGTCATCGCCATCATTGTCTTTATTTATACTTTAATTCATGTTTGTATTTGTTTACAAAACTGTTTGTATTTGTTTACAAACTGTTTGTATTTGTTTACAAACTGTTTGTATAGATGTCAATAAAGTTTCAAAAGATTTCGAAGTTTCTTTCATTCATTTTGTTATTGTTGATAATCTTTTTGTTTTGTGCTGATGATAAACAAAACACGATGGTAGTGAAGAGAAATGTCGGCAGTCAAGTTTGTAGCTGAGACTTAATGTCGGCAGTCAAGTTTGTAGCTGAGACTTAATGTCGGCAGTCAAGTTTGTAGCTGAGACTTAATGTCGGCAGTCAAGTTTGTAGCTGAGACTTAATGTCAGCAGTCAAGTTTGTACTTAATGTCGGCAGTGAAGTTTGTAAATGAGACTTAATGTCGGCAGTCAAGTTGGTAACTGAGACTTAATGTCGGCAGTCAAGTTGGTAACTGAGACTTATTGTCGGCAGTGAAGTTTGTAGCTGAGACTTAATGTCGGCAGTCAAGTTTGTAGCTGAGACTTAATGTCGGCTGTCAAAGACTTAATGTCGGCAGTCAAGTTTGTAAATGAGACTTAATGTCGGCAGTCAAGTTTGTAACTGAGACTTAATGTCGGCAGTCAAGTTTGTAGCTGAGACTTAATGTCGGCAGTCAAGTTTGTAGCTGAGACTTAATGTCGGCAGTCATGTTTGTAGCTGAGACTGAATGTCGGCAGTCAAGTTTGTAGCTGAGACTGAATGTCGGCAGTCAAGTTTGTAGCTGAGACTTAATGTCGGCAGTCAAGTTTGTAGCTGAGACTTAATGTCGGCAGTCAAGTTTGTAGCTGAGACTTAATGTCGGCAGTCAAGTTTGTAGCTGAGACTTAATGTCAGCAGTCAAGTTTGTACTTAATGTCGGCAGTCAAGTTTGTAACTGAGGCTTAATGTCGGCAGTCAAGTTTGTAGCTGAGACTTAATGTCGGCTGTCCAAGACTTAATGTCGGCAGTCAAGTTTGTAAATGAGACTTAATGTCGGCAGTCAAGTTTGTAACTGAGACTTAATGTCGGCAGTGAAGTTTGTAGCTGAGACTTAATGTCGGCAGTCAAGTTTGTAGCTGAGACTTAATGTCGGCTGTCAAAGACTTAATGTCGGCAGTCAAGTTTGTAAATGAGACTTAATGTCGGCAGTCAAGTTTGTAACTGAGACTTAATGTCGGCAGTCAAGTTTGTAGCTGAGACTTAATGTCGGCAGTCAAGTTTGTAGCTGAGACTTAATGTCGGCAGTCATGTTTGTAGCTGAGACTGAATGTCGGCAGTCAAGTTTGTAGCTGAGACTTAATGTCGGCAGTCAAGTTTGTAGCTGAGATTTCATGTCGGCAGTCAAGTTTGTAACTGAGACTTAATGTCGGCAGTCAAGTTTATAGCTGAGACTTAATGTCGGCAGTCAAGTTTGTAGCTGAGGCTTAATGTCGGCAGTCAAGTTTGAAGCTGAGACTTAATGTCGGCAGTCAAGTTTGTTGCTGATATTTAATTTCGGCAGTCAAGTTTGAAGCTGAGACTTAATGTCCAGTCAAGTTTATACTTAATGTGTGATATTGTTACCACTATCTTATAAATTGCAAAATGGCATGTTTACTAGTCCAAGATTACAATTACATTCTAGCTACAGTTTGTCACAAAAAGCCAAGGATTTTCATAATTGTAAATGAGTCACTGTCACGACTAAGCAGTATGCCTCTTAGATATTTTACTGCGGGGGAGGAGGGGGGGGGTGACACTTAATACTTTGAGGATGGCGCCAGACTTAAATTTGCGGGGCGAACACTGGTTGAATATTTTTTCTATGTAGTTTTGGGGCGGGGCTTGCAGGTGAGGTGCTTGAAAGAAACCCTTCAGCAAATCTCTCTAACAGACATGATGTATTGAAAACTTACAGAAAGAACTGGATGCCGAAACTTTTAATTATCATATTTCATCAAAGCATCTTCACCCCACATCACATCCAATTAGGATAATTAAATGCTTAGATTTTTACAAAAAAAAAAACAACAAAAAAAAAAACAAATGCTAACCTTTAATTTAGCAAAGAAATTATATTTTAGTACCGTAAATAGGTTTAATAGATACGACACTTTTTAAATAAGCAAAATTTTAAAAAAGTTCTAGAAAGTAAATTATGCAAAGAAAATTAATGTTTTAGTCACAGAATAAACTAATGCATGTTCAGATTTTTAAAAATTCAACGGTCAAAGGGAAATAATCAATAAAATTAAAATTCATTTAAAACATACGCACTTATCTCGCATTTTATTAATTGCATTTAATTAGTCCTTGGGGACGGTTTTTATAATTGTAATTTCACAACTTAATTACATGAATTGGTTTTAATATTAAACTTCTGTTTGGTCGTTTTTTTTCTCTATATGTTAAAGACAGCTGTATTTATTTGTATTATATATTCAGTGTGTTTTTCAGTTTCTCAATTAATATTTGTAAACAGTTGTTTACAGTAATTACAAATAAGTGAACTCTGCTCTGATCGTACGGGGAGAGGCCTGAACAATTTATTGACTGGACCAGATTTCTAAATTATTTGTTAGACATTTGTAACAAGCGTCAGGTTTATATAATATTCAATTTGTCATTTGAACATTTTCTAAAAAAAATAAAACTGAAAACATCGACAGCTTCCGGCAACATTACTAACTCAAGAATTCCTAAAGGATAAAAGGATGATAAAATATTCACAACATTACTAACTCAAGAATTCGTAAAGGATAAAAGGGTGATAACATATTCAAGGAATTCAAGAAAATGGTGTGATCAATGCATTTATGAAATAAGCAAATTTCAGTTGTTTTGTTATTTTCATTGCAATTCAAATCTTATTTTGGTAGAGTTTTTTTTTTATTTATCTTATTCTCTACGTTTTAGTATGTGTGTATTTTAAACAATAAAATTCAAGATTTCAATTTAATAACGATCAGTTTATTTTTTATTTCTTTTGTTCTCAAAGAAGTCGAAAATATACCCAGTAGCGTACGCAGGGGGGGGGGGGGGAGCAGGGGGAGCGGTCGCTCCCCCTCTGGCCATTTTCAGCAAAATGGCGCCTTTTTGGAAACTTTAAACTCAAAGTTTTAAACAATGATATTTGTTAAAAACATATTTTCGGTCGGCACATCTATGTAAATAACAAGATTTCTTTTCATGCAGCAATTAAGCATTATTGTACTAGTCTAGTAGTGTCTACGATTACAACACGTATTAAGAGCTGCATCAGTTTGCCATTCTAAAAATAACGATTACAATGCATTGCAATGTTTAAAAACCTCTACGGGTTGTACTACTTGGCAAGAGGGGTGTTAAGTTTAAGACAACTGTATAATGTATTTGCTTTCGAATAATTGAATTAGAAAATGTTATACATAAAACTTCACACATAATTACTTTATATATACAGTTTGAATCGTGTGATTAATTTAAAAAAAAATTACAATACAGAAACAAATACAACTGATGTGACACCTCTATTTAAATTTTCTTATGGGCAAACTGCGTAGCGGTGGGGAAATTTTGACCAGTTCAACAACGTCATCACGATGACTTAGTAGTATTCTTACAGTTTCGGCGATAGTGATTACGATTACAAATTATATGAAACAGTTACAACCTCCCTCCCCATGCACTCCTCTGGGGAAAAAATATTGTCATAATACCACTGCTACTTATTTAAATCTAATTGTGTAATATATATTTGTGTAATATATATTTGTGTAATATATATGTATGTTTAGAACAGTCATCTAAAACTGACGCTATGTTCACTATGAGTTGGTTATCTCCCCCCCCCCCCCCCCCCCCACACACACACCTCACCACCACAATTGTGTAGAGCGACATTAATGTCACACCTAGGTATACACTGGGTTGGATAATTGACCTAAAGTGAACAGACAGTGGTGAATGAAGTTGACCCCCCCCCAACCCACTCCGAACTGATCTGTTAAGTACATGTAGAAAAACGCGTAATGAAGTACCAAAGAACCATGCCCCCAGAAAATTAGCTTTTTAAACGTAAAACTCTGTGATTATTGTTTTTGCAATTACCAGTAAAAAGGTATGTGATCAATACAGTGATCTAACCCATACCTATTACTATGTTAAAAGATGATCTTTAAAGAACACAAAGAAGCAGTTGTTAATTAAAAATTATATGATCTTAACAAAAAGACCGTAATGTAGTTAAATGTAGGCTGTTATTCCGAATTTTTTTCTATTATTACCAAAAGCGTGGTTTTATACCAACTCTGATTTTAAAAACTTTCATTATGCTGTGATACTTTAGCATTTATGATGATGATATATTAAATTCTGATTATAGACAAAAACATTTCGTAAACACGAATAGTGTTAAGCAATTTCATTATATTCTAAAGTAATTATTTATTTGTTTTGACATTTATAATTAAATGTGTAGATATATACATATTTATATTAAGAGAGTGATTATTTCCCCTATTTCACTTATCTTAAATAATAATAGTTTCGCTGTCTGTGTATGTGACAAGAACGCTCTGTCTGACAAGAACGCTCTAGAGAAAACACAAGCAAATTAAAAACCTGCATAGTAATTCGAAAAACGAAGTATGACGTCGCCACATTTAGCACAGTATCTTAAGTCGGAGAGTGCACACAGTAATATGACGTCATTGATTCTCGAGTAAACATTGAATACAAAGGCAATTTTGTCTAATCTAAGTGGTTTGCGTGAAGAGTTTCTTTCATACAATTCTTCGAGTAGGGGCGAAGCCCCATCCCCGCGTAAGAACGTCTGAGCCCCCCCCCCCCCCTCCCCAACTCAAAAGAAATTTCCTCATCGATACTCTATAATAAAATTACCGCCTAATTAATGTGTCTAATCTAAAAAGTGGTTTTCTTGCAATTTCTTTAATGCAATTCTTCGGGTAGTGGCTAAGCGCGACACCAGTGTTTCTTTCAGACTTTTTCCTCCCCGGAGAGGGGTGGGGGTACTTGAAATTTTCGGGGGCGGGGGTAGAATTTTCGGGGAGGGGGCGGACACTGGAAAAAGTATATAATTATATTTCGTTGAATGGGACGGTAGACATGTTTTTTGGGGGATG